ATTTCCCTATTTCAATCCATCTATCTATCGTTCTGTGATTGCGTTCGCTGCTGCTGTTGTTGTTTTTGTTGTTGTTGTTGTTGTTGTCGCTAGTTGCTGGTAGTAGTTGTAGTTGTAAGTAGTCGCTTCAGCTGTGCCGCAGCCTGTGGCTCATTTGTCGCAACAGCAAAAGCAACAGCAGCCGGCAGCCGACGGCGTCGGAGGCGAGAAATGAGTAAAACAAATGCGTCAACACCGAATTTTCATTTGGTTAATGTGTGAAAGCGGACAAAACTAAATACGAAATACGAAACACACTCGCACACACACACATCTGTACACACACAGACACACACACACACACAGACACACTCGTCTGCCTAAGCAGGCATCAGTGAAATAATAACATGAATTTATCAATTTGTCATGTTGATATTTGTTTGGCAATTTATTTTCCACATGCCACAAGCAGAGACAGTCTCAGCGTTCAGCATCGGAAGCAGCAGCAGCATTTACAGAGCTCATTTCTTTGCCAGCTCGGTTTTTATTTAGTTTCGGGTACATTTTGTGCAACTCGTGGCATATGTAATGCAATTGTGGGCAGTAATTGATTGTCCTACTTAGCCGACTTACTGCAACTCAATGAGATACAGATGTTCAAGGTTTCCCTTTTGGTTTCACAACTCAAGACGGGATGATGCATCATCGAATATATATTTTTATTAAACCCTTTATTAAGTTTTACATTCGGAATGTCTCGGAATGGTATAAGATAATAGAAAAAGATTTAACTTTAATAAATATGTTGACCACCTCAGACATCCACAGCAAAAGGCTCATTTCTAATTGTTGCTTACTGAATTTAATTTACTGTATTTAATTTATTTAATTTAATATATATTATTGTGTTTAAATTTAAACTATTTACACAAGTTGTATTTTTTAAAACCTTAGAAATTTGTGAACTGTTTCGTCCACATTAAAGGAATTCAGACTTTCGAAAATAGTCGAATTAAAATTGTTTTTTCATTAAATTAATAATCATTTAGTTTAATTTGCAACTGTAACTATAATTCTTGTTACTTTTCAAATTGATTTACATATTATGAATATCACCTTTGTCATTTACAAAATTCTTGAGACGCATTCTATCCCCTAATTTAGACAATGTCATATTTTAAAATTAGTTGAATGCATTTTGATACAAGTCGACAAGTTCAACACCAAAAAATACTTGTATTGCCATGTTTAAAAATCACCTTTAATAAATAAATACAAATTATGAATAGACCAACAGTCGTCTTCTGAAATGTGCTCAAAACCCTCTGATTGCTTTTACAACTCTAAGAAAAAATTATGATTTAAAATGTTTACATTTTTTAATTTTAATTTTTTACATTTTCAACAAGTGAACTGAAATAGCTGTCTCTAAAGACTCGCAAAAAGTTTTGTAGGCAATTTGTTGTTGTTTTTCGTTAAGTGAGAAGCATACCTCAGTTTTGAAAATTGTTCAACGCACTTAGGAAAAAGCGAGAGCGAAAAATGTGCACATAACATTAAATGGGTTCATATACAACCCGCATCATATGTGAAAAATGTAACAACAACAATGAGTACAACCAGGCCAAAGAGCCAAACAAAACAAATTTCAATTTAGCTTAAAGATTTTGCACATAAAATTTGTAACACTCAATTAGTTTAAGCGACAACAACAATTGTATGTTATATAAAATGTTTTAGCAACCCTCGCTGACGAGTAAATCGCATAAATGCGGTGACGTATGAATTTCATTTAATATGATTAGTGTGGGCCCGCTGCTCCTGGTCTATATACACATATATATATATATATATTGCTTATATATATATTTTAGACCTTGTTGAGATACAAGTGCAGTTTGGAGGGGGGTGCTGGGTTCATATATTGGGTCATAAAAATATTTACGCTGCATACTTGCGGGCGATGCAGCATAAATCAAGCCAAAGGCAGCATTATGATGAGCAAAGTGAAAGTGGAACAAGAAAGAGACAGCAACATGTGAGAGAGAGAGAGAGAGAGAGAGAGAGAGAGAGAGAGGGGGAGCTGACTTAATAAGAGTTAAAAGGTGGTGAAATACGAGCATCAACAGCTCTTGAGCAAAACTGCTGCTGTGCCACACGGGGTTGCAAGCGCAACGAAAAAGAAAAAAAAATACAACTAGAGAAAAATCAATTTAATTTCGCTAATGTAGTGTAATACTTCGGCAGTTAAGGTTAGTACTTCAAGGCTGGCGAAAAGCGATTAGCAACAAATGCTCTATTTGAACCTGCTTAGGGGCAACACAACCCACAACCCACCCTTGAGTGTGGGGTGGTGGAGTGGGGGGGTGGAGTACGCTTTGTCAGCGCACTAAAACAAAATCTTCATTAATTCTGATCGATGACCATAAATCCTTTTCGGTGTTTCGCTTCTTTTTGCTGTCTGTACATGTTGCATTGCTGCAACAATCAAATGATTGAACACTTACCAATGAAGAGAAAGGAGCAAGCAAAAACAGAGATACACTAAGAAAAAAAAAACGTACTTTCAATAAGCCGCCATAGGTAATTCATCTTATTATCCAGAATATACATTTTTAAAATACAGGATTTTAGCTTTCTAAATAGCAGGTTTTGCAATAGTTAATTTCGGCGTGTTGAATTTCCAGTATTATTTTCTATGTGTGTATAAATAGAAGAATTCACATATTAAACTCTTAACTATTTTTATTATTGTTAAGCTTTAGTATTTTCAGACTTCACATATATAAATATAAATTCATATAAATTAATTTCAGTTACGTGAAAAATTTCATTACTTGTCTTTGTATTTTAGGCAGGTTTATTTTAAAAAAACAGGTGTTTGTATAGAAATATTTTTTATTATTAAGAAAGATTATATAAAATAGAATAAAAATCTAAAAAGAAGGGATGCATTGACAATTTTTGGAAATATTATAGAAAGAAGCAGCACATTGTGGAATTGAAGGCGATTTATTTTCTGAGTGTGGAAAGAAGCAGAGCGAGGCAAAGCTTTGCTCTCGACCTAAGACAGGATGAACATGGCATTTGGCAGGGCAAAAGAAACAAACAACAAGGAGCAGCAGAAGGACAGCAAGGACGGCAAGGACAGTCAGGCAGCTCATACAAATTCGACAGCTGAAAGCGTTTCCGGTTCCGTTTTCTTGTCTTTGTTTGCCTACATTTCTCGATTTTCTTTGCCTCGCCATCGATGCAGCCGAGCGCGTTTATTTGTTGCTCGTAATTTATTTACTGTCCACATCGGTTCGAAGTTCAGCTACTGTTGCTGCTGCCACATACACGCAAACTCAAATACACACACACACACACACACACAGTTGCAACTTGCTAGTTAAATATTGCCACTAGCTGGCAACTCTTCTTGCAACTTGTTGTTGTGGCTCTGCATTGCCAGTGAGTGATAAATTAATCGCTACATCAGTTTTTAATTCCGTGTTGCTAACAATTTATCTTTTGGCATGCGTTGGCGTGTGCCACATCCCAAGCCCAAACTCCAAACCCAAAATCGCATCTAGCACACTGCAACCAAGTTCTACAAAAAGGTAAAAATTGTATCGTCTCTTCCAACATTATCAAAAATCGTTATCTGATTATTATATATTCTGCTTTTTAACAACCTACGCGATTCTCCAATTATATTTCTATATGTAGAAAAAATTCAGAATGGTTATAAAAGTTTACAACGTTAATATTTTCATAAAGTATAGGCTCTTAAAAACTAATTTCGATTTAAATTGAAGCAAGACAAGCTCACCAACAAAACTATTACAAATAACCAATCAAAACAATAATGAATATTCCAAAAATGACGTAAGAGTAGAGGCAAGCATTCTTAGTACTTAGTACTTAGAACTTTGTTGCAGGTCTTTGCTTTCACCTTGAACAAGTAAATAAATTTGATGAGCATACTTTTGCGACATGCATTGAACGACTTAGAATCTTTTTCTAGCCTTTTGAATAATTTAGATTATTATTTCTTCTCGTCATTAATAATTCCACAGAATTTTGTATATACATACGCATTCTGAATCACACTGTTCCATTTAATTTCGATTTGCATTGGGTTAGAATTTTGAAGTTCGCTGTGTATAAATGTTTGATTATATTATTCATTCTTTACTTCGTTAATCTGTCTTTTTTTTGTTATTAAGATTCAAATTTGTTTTTTATTATTTGAGTCTTAGTTAAAGCAATTCTTAGTCACTGTTTTGCTGCTGGTAGTGTATAATACGGCAACTGGTATACCCACAACGACTCCGACCCCGCCCCCCTGTTGCCTGTCGCATCCCTGCCCCCTGTGGCTCCTACGAAGTCGCGCACTGTTTAAAATGATGTATGGCAAAAATTTTGACAAATGTACAAAAATGAGTCATGAGTTTCGTTGTGCAAACAAAACGCGGTAGTTGTTCTTGTTGCTGACCCATGTTGCAGCAGCAGCAGCAGCAGTTGCTCTTCTTGTTGTTGTTGTTGTTGTTGCTTGGTCTCACTATTTGCAGTTGACTTTTTCATGTAGTCGTCGTCGCCAGCATCGTCAACGTCGCAGTTGTTGTTTCTGTTTTCATTATCCATAACACAAACAAGCAGTGAAGCTGAAGCTAAAACAGAATCTGGAGATGGAGATGGAGCCATTTACTCCATGGCTGCTTACACATGTTATTTCTATAGAGAGAGGAGGTTGAGTAGCAAAAGTAGGGGAGTAGGGGAACTTCTGCATAATCTGTCGCCAAAACATTTATCATTCTACGGACTTACCTTTGCAAAACTTGTGTATAATGTCACGGCAAGGACTAGCCGTCATTTTGCCCCATTTTGTGAGGAATTTGGAAAGGAAATACAATTTAAAAATATGCAAAGCTTAAACAAAAAATCGTAAATGAACCTGTTCAGTAGTTTTGGGGCAAATGTCAGGTGTATAAGTATATATATAGTAAGTTATGGGACCAATGTCAGATGTCTCTCGTAGACCGGTTTCACAGCGTCTGGGAAAACGAGCTCCAGACCTGAAAAACAAAATTCACCTACAAAAATATGGCGGACTGGTCCAAGACCAGTGACAGAGGCAACAATAACAACAACCGCAACCACAACAATAATAATAATATTAATCGTGATCGTCATAATCGAACTGGCGATGTCCAACAATATCGCCATTTTCACAATCGTAATCGAGATTTTCGCGATAGTCACTGCGATGTGCCCAACGATCCACCATTTATCGCATTTGTTGGCAATCTGCCCAAGGGGCTCGTCCAGGGCGATGTTATGAAGATATTCGAGGATTTCGAGGTGAAGAACGTGCGCCTAATCAAGGATCGTGAAACGGATGAGTTTAAGGGTTATGGTTATGTGGAATTCACCACACTCGATCAACTGAAGCGTGCTCTTTCCCGCAATGGACGCATTAAACTCGATAATTTATCGGCCCCGTTGCGCATCGATATTGCCGATCATCGGCGACAGAGCGGCTCAGGGGGTGGACCGGGTGGAGGAGCTGGTGGAGGTGGTGCAGGAAGATCTGCCTCGGGCAGTTCTAACAACAACAACAATAATCAACGGCGTAATTATAGACGCGATGATAGTCCGGGTCGCTCCTCGACCAGTTCCAGTTTCCGCCCGGATCGCCAGGAGGGCAGTCCTCGACCGAGTGGCTATCGCGGGGGACGCGGAGGAAGAGGGCACAGGGGTGGATTTGGGCGAGCTCGCTTTAACAATGATGGCAACGATGGCAGCAATAGCAGCGATTATGGTTCGCTGGGCGGGAATAGTTTGGGCAGTCCCCGTCAAAATGTGGAGCCACACAAATCATCCACTAGTTTCCAGAGTAATCGCAGTTTTCCACACTACTCGGGTGGCAACTACAATAATCGGTGAGTATTCACGAGTGCACTCATAAGTTTCTCGGCAAGTACATTATTTAATTTAAAATTTGTGAATTTCTTTTAATCTGAACTTAAAGCTAAGTATTTTTAATATTTATATAATAGCATCGATTTGGGTCAAGCTTTTCCTAATATTTATAAACTATTTCTGAGTAAAAGATCAACTTTCCATTTTCAGATAAATTAAGTTACTTCTTTCTACATTTTACAGAGCATTTCTTATAATAATTAGGAAATGCATTTCTTTGTTTTCGAAACGTTTTTCTAAATTTGAAAGATATTTCTAAAAACTATTATCGATTTAGGGCAAGCATTTCTAATTTTTACAAATGTTGTCTCTAATATTTGAGACTTTTCTAATTTTTAATGTGATTTACTAGAATCTAGGGCATTTTTTTCACTCATTCTCTCTCTCTTCCTTTACAGTTACAATAATCGGAATAACAACAACAACCCCAACAACAACAACAACTTCAGACGTGGTGGAGGTCAACGTCAGCGCAGCATTAGCAATGACAATGGACACTATTCGAATTTCGGGCAGAATCGCACAAGGGATCGTCGTCGGCACTATAATCCCAATGATATATATCCACAGTCGCCACCGGCAACGAGCAGTGCCAGTCTCGACGATGAGGATCGACCAAAGATAGTGCTCCAACCCAGATCGGTGACTGAACCGATTAATGCTCTGGCCGAGACAAAGCAATCGGCGAGCATTTTTGCAGGTGCCAAGCCGCGCATTAATCAACAATCTCCGACACCACAAAACGAGGATGGACAACCCGGTGGCAGCAACCAGACAGAGAAACCATTATAAATACCACATACTCAACAACACGGGTTAGTTTAGCGAAAATTACTTAATCACCAATTGAACAAGATCCAAACAAAAAGAGCAGCAGCATCGAAAAAAAGAAGAAAAAACCATTCGCATTCGGATATTATCTACAATACTCTACAGATATACCCTGACTACACTTTCAATCTAGAAAATTAATTTGGGCGGTTGGTTGTATACAATAACAAACTTGCTTGGATATGTCTGTGTTAGTTTCTACCAAAATTCGACACTCTCATTTTGAGTCGTAAGTCAGCGTTTATTATAGATTTAATATTTACAGGTGAACAAATAAATTTTAAAATATTTTATTACGCCAGTGTCATACAAACCTTGAAAAAATATTTTTAAAATAAGTAGAGTATAAAATGAGGCTGTGAATCGAACCCATAGTCTGGAACAATACATCATATATTCGAATTGTTTCAAAATTGCTATAACAACAGCGAATTTTAATCATATTGTACTCATTCATATAAATAGAGATGACTTTATTCGTGTGGTTTCGGCTGTCACGCAAGAGCGAATCTGTTTCTGGTTATCTCTTAATTATTTCCTGATGTAATCTCAAACAAATTCGCCGGCTGGGCAGAAAGAGCTTCCGCTCTTAACTGGCCCATAAATTTGCAAAAGTTAATGCGCAGTGACAAAAAGACCGGCAATAAGGGCCACAAAGCCAGGACACTGATAGGGACATGGCCAGGCGATAGGCGATAGGCGATAGGAAATAGGCACACACCTAAGCAGGCAGCTGGCCAAAAAAGGACATTCGCGGCATTAACTAGTCAACTCGAACTAATTGAATTGAATGAGATTAAAGAATTTCACGCCGAAATGAAGATGTTGCCAGAGTCAAAGCCAAGCCCAGCCATGCCAAGACAAGCGAGACGTGACCCCGGCAAGGACTCCTTCCTGGCTGCTCCTGGCTCCTGGTATTTATGTGCCCAAGATTTACGAGCCACAACAAGGCACTTGGCGCTGAAATTGAGCTGCGCATCCGCCATCCTGGCCAAATTGGCTTAATTTCTTTTTAATTTGCTGGCTGCGCACTCCAACCAAAAATTCAATTTGAAAAGTGGCCGGCACCCCCCCAAAAAAAAAGAAATAGAAATAAAAAAAAGGACATGAGGTGCACACAGGACTCAAAAACTGAAACTGGCCGACAGCATTCAGTATTCGATTTGCCTATGCCTATATCGTTGCCACTCGCAAAGTCAATTTACGCACGAACATTTTCAATTTACTTGGACACAAACCGCAGAGGAAATCATCTCCTCCCTCCCCGGTTGCACTTTACAGAAATGCCGCGTAAAATTCACGGCATTAAAGGACTTTTTTTTCTTCTTTCAAACGTCTTATTTTTTCTTTATTTCTTTTGAAGTTTAGACCCCACCGTGCTCATTTTATTTGCCTTTTTCTTTAGCACTTTTCCGCGCTTTTCTTCCTTTTTTTTTTTGTTGGTTTGTTGTGCCCGTGTTCGTTAATGTGTCACACGCACTTTGGAAGCAATTGTTGTTGGCAGGAGCTGGGCAGGAGTTGGGCAGTAGCTGGGCGTCTGGCAAAGTTGACGACGTTGACGCCCATGGCGCAATTATTATGATTATTGGGTACAGCTGCACTTGGACGCAGCAGTCCTGGACCAAGAGGACCCTCCAGGGCGAGCCAGCGACCAGGCCACTTATAAACAAAATTGTAATTTACCTTCACATTGCCAGCTTGCTCAGCTTCCTCAGCTTCAGCAGCTTCAGCAGCCAAGTTGAAGTGTTGTCCTTCATTAGGGGTTGGGCTTAGGGGGTGCGGGGAGGAGAATTTCTTTCACTTTGGACGCTGTGCATCGCCTCGGGGGTCACGCGTTCATAATCGCGCTGAATGACTTCATAATGAAAATATTAAAGGTGTTTTTTGTTGTTGCTTTTGTTGTTGTTGCTTAGCCGTCGGCCAGGATAAATTTTACTTTGGCCAGGCTGGTCGAGTCGCCGCTGCCATCACAAAAGGCGCCAAGTTTATGTTTATGTCAAACGCAAGTCATGTCCATAAGCAGGGGGGCCAGTGTTGGGCGTAATTTAATAATAAAGCGCCTTATTTCCTTCTTTCTTTCTTTTTTTCATTAAATGTAAGTGCAATCGCAGCAGCTGGAAAGAGCTGGCTGAGCATGTTTGTGGGCGATGCTGGACACAAAATATCAAAAGGCAAAAAAGAGTTGTCCAACTTGAGTGGACCATAAGTTAGATAGGTAATTATGACGATGAGTTACTCTGTGAAATTGAAAAGTGAAATTCAAGTTGAATAGCAATAGATAACAATGTTTGTTTAGCTGTTAATAAATATTTATATAGATTTGAAATAATTGTAATAAATTAGCTACTTAGTTAGCTTTAATTGACTTAATATAAATTGGACAAAGATGCATTCTGCATACAGAGAACAAGTCAAATTAATTAATTATTCTGTATGTATGATATCATAATTTTTTCACAGTCTTTAGCAAAATCAGTAAAGTTTTGCTTACAATGTAAACACTTAATTTTAGACATGTATATTTAGTTGCTGGAGGTCAATCGCAGCTATCAGCAATCAAATTGTATTTGCGCTTTCAACAAACCCCAAGAAACAATTAAAGCAGACCCAGACAGGAGTAATACATATTTTAAATATAGTTGTGGCTAATTGTCATGCTATCGACATCGTCTTATCAGCAACAGCAACAGCAACAACAACAGCAAGCAATTCGGGCAAAATTTATGCAACACAAACGAGCAGACGGAGCAACACACACAGGACACACAGCACAGGACGATTGGGCAGATAACGGTATTTGTGGCACAGGGATATTAAGTCAAAAATGCTGCGTCTCCAGTGGTCGCTCTGTCTGTCTGCCAGTCTGTCTATCTGTCTGTTGGTCGGTTGCTTGCTGGCTATTAAAATGCTAGCATTTGCAAGTTTATCTTACAACAACGAGCTGCTGGAGAGATAATGTATCGACAGGACACACAGGACATACAGGACACACACACAACACACACAAGGAGGTGAGCGCAAATCTAGACGTGGACATTAATGAACGGCACAGCACGGGACGACCACTACTACTGCACTCAGAAAAACAATTTCACCGAAATTTGGACAAGCGCCCCTAAATAAAAATCGCACTGAAGACTAGCAAAATGTTCTGGTTTTTTTTCTAAATAATTTCTTGAAATGCGAAAAAGAAATTCTTAAATTTGGGAATGCTTCTTTCATATTTTTGTAGAAATGTTTTGTGATATTAAGAAATCCATTTCAAAAAAATACAATCGACACTTAAATTAAGAAAAGAAATTCTCGGATTTTAGAAAGCTAAAATCATTAAGAAATATACTTAATGACTTAATGACGTCGTTTTTTTATATATCTGTGCATGCTTTTCTCTAAGTGTACTAGTACTACAGTGAGCTAGCCGGAGTCGGTACAGTCGAGTCCATTAAAAAGGACTAAATGGCAATTAAACATTTGAGCTTGGCCTACGAAACTGGTCGCCAACAACTGACCGTTGCCTGGCAGTGGAGAGGGAGTGGCGAAGGGGAAGTGGTACATTCAGCAATTAAGGCTCCCTTTTGCACTTTTGGCCAAGGACACTTGGCAATTAAGCCAACAACATTTTGGGCAAAAGTTGGCGCTACGAATCCCTTAGCGACAATTTTTGGAGTGCTTTCTCTCTCTCCTCGCTTTGTTATCCTTTTTACCTATCTTGACTGCTGCATTAGCTAATGTTCTTGTTGTTGTTGTTGTTGTTGTTGTTATTGTTGTTGAGACAAAACTTAAATGAGTTTGTTCTGCACAGCGAGATTTGAATGCGAAGCTGGCCAGCAAGTTTTTGATTGGCCCGAGAAAAAAGATTTATCTGCTTTGCGTTCAACTTGAGGGCAAACCGAATTTCAAATAAATACCTACAGAGAACTTAGACAAATGTCAAAGGGCAATGCACATAAAAATGCCTGAAATACTGTGCGCAGGCAGACACATGTGTAGTGGTAGGGGTGGTCGCAAGGGGCACACGGATTTGGGGCAGGGGGGCACCCACATCGTCGATATGCTCATTTAAAATAATTTATTGCAATGAGCTGACACTCATTGCCAGTTAAAAGTGGCATGCCACTCTGACACTTGAAGCGTTTGCCACACACACACACACACAGACACACACACACACACACCAGCTCTCACTCACTTAAGCATTTTTCGAAAATATAAATACTTATCGAGTGGCACAGCGGCAAAGATAAATTGCGCAAAATAGGAAAAATGCTCTAATTAAAATTATGCACAAATATTTTGGGAATTTCTCGTTTAGCCATGCGACACAAGTCGCAACTAACATGGAAATCTAGCAAGTCTCTCCAAATATCTCAGAAATCACAGCCGTTGCTCTCTCTCTGTCTCTCTCTCCCTCTCTCTCTCTTTGTCTGTCTTATTGATGGCGTGCCAATTAAAATTGATTGGAAATTCCTTGCATGCCACGCACGTGGGCGGCATCATCATCCTCATCCTCATCGTTGTTGCTGCTTCTGCTAAGCAGCTGTCCCCAGAAAAGTCCTTTTGCTCAGCAAAATACCAGCTGCTTGCCGGATTCAGAAATTAACATACGCATGTAAATAGAACACTGGAAAAAAATAGTTAGATAACTGATTGAATTTTAATTGCATCAAGTGCTTCTTTCTCTCCTCGTATTTAGATATATTCTGCAAAACAAAATGCTTGCATAAATAAAGGTACAAAATTGTATTAAATATTAATCATGTAATTTCCTTATCGCTTCTATTCTAATTTCTCTCCCCCTTTCTCTATCTCTCTCTCTCTCTCTCTCCCTGTATTGTACAAAAATAATAATAATTATAAAAATAGTAGTAGCTGATTTATGCAGAGGAATGTACTTTGTATTGAGCACTAATCCTATAATTGGCTTAGAGTCTTTTAATATTTTAACTTAATCCACATGTTATTATTATTTTACTTAAAAAATAACTTAAATTCAATTGGATTCAATGCGGAAACCTTTTCGAATTTTATTTTTGAAATACGTGTTCTAAATATTGTGCTTGCCGGTTTCCTCACCTTATTTATAGTCTTTATAGTTGAGTGATTATCAGCTAACTGCTTGGCCGTAATTATTTTTAAATAAGTTCACAAATTATTTTTCTAACCTGATAATAATTAATGTTATTGATTAACTGTCAACTTAATTTGGGATTGGAAACATAGAATTTGTTAGCCAACGCGTATTTTGATAAAAAAAAAGAAGATTATTATTGTATTTAACTGCTGGGCTCAGGTTTTC